AAAAAGATCTGATTTGCAAGGAAAATATAAAAACACAAAATAAGATATTTATATAATTTGATACCAAATTTGTATTTATTATATTACATAAAAATATATAATATTTATATAATATTTATAAAATATAATCATATAATAAAAGATATATAATATATGAATAAAAAAAAAAATATATATATATATATATACAGGGTGTTTTTTTTAACTTGAGACTGCTAAATATCTCGAAAAATAAGCATTGTACGACAAAAATGTCCCAAATAAACCCTCAATAGTTTTGAGGGCGCAATTTAATCCCACAAAAATTATCCACCTCCCACCCCCCCCTGGGGATGGGGCGAGGGGTAACTTTGAAATCTTAAATGGGAACCCCTATTTTTTATTACAGATTCGGATTCTACATCCAAAAACACGTAACTTTTGTCTGAACTTTTTTTTCCTATTTCTGATAGATGGCGCTGCATTTGGCAAAAATTGGGTAACCTTCGTTTTCTTCAAAGGGAATCCCCTATAATGACGCTACGTCGAAGAAAAGTAACTTTTGTCGGAAACATGTTTTTTCGAATTATCGTAAATATCAACGATAATTTTTTATCCGTTTTAACTAAAAAATGAAAATAAAAGTTACAATCTCCAATGGCCTTGACCTTTACAAATGTTATACAAATGATGATGTTAAAAATTCAAGAGGTTTTAGTCGTCATTTCGACGTGGTCATTTCCAAATGGTCCACTCACGATCTTTCAAAATTTAGTGTTAAATTCTTAACATATCCAAGTAATGTGATTATGTTATTTGAATATTTCGTGTTGAATAAATATTTAACATTTCGTAGTATTAAAATAACATAACTTATGAGTAACACAAAGTGGAACACAAACTTCGATTTTCTCTTCTACAGATAAATAATCCATACCTGTGGAGTGTAAGAATAGCACGAATCGAAAGTTAGTCGCAATACGAAATGGAAAATGCTTCAAAAGTATGAAAAAATAATTTGTTGAAATAACTCGACAATAGTGCTATTTATCGAGACTCGTCCTACATAGTTTGAAAGTTTGTGTTCCACTTTGTGTTACTCATAAGTTATATTAATTTAATACTACGAAATGTTAAATATTTATTCAACACGAAATATTCAAATAACATAATCACATTACTTGGATATGTTAAGAATTTAACACTAAATTTTGAAAGATCGTGAGTGGACCATTTGGAAATGACCACGTCGAAATGACGACTAAAACCTCTTGAATTTTGAACATCATCATTTGTATAACATTTGTAAAGGTCAAGGCCATTAGAGATTGTAACTTTTATTTTCATTTTTTAGTTAAAACGGATAAAAAATTATC